AGGGGGGGGCACACAACGATACTGGCGGGGCGGGGAGCAGCGTCACGGAGAGAAAGAGAGCGGGAGGTAATTCACACGTATGGATACAATGATCAGGCTGAGGACAGCTTGCTGGCAGCGCCGGCAACGGGAACGTGCGCAAGGAGCGGCCGGGACGCTTTGAATGCGCTTCCGAGCAGCAGCACCAGCAGAGCGAAGCGACATGCGCCGGGAGCAAGCGGAAACGCACGCGGGACTCACAGAAGGTACGCACGCTGGCCCGGGGTAAGCGGTGAGGGAGCCAGAAGCAGACAGACAGGGCCCTCCGGCAAGGATGGTAAAATGATGTTCCCTCCTCCCCTCCCGCCCCCTCCCCGTCCTCCGCATCGTCCCCTTCCCTCAGCCTCCCTACCTCCTCCCTGCCTCTGCTCCTCCCTGCCTCCTCCTCATCCTTTCTCACAAATCCTCATACTCCCTCCTCCTCCCTCCTCCTCCCTCCCCCCTTCAGGGCATGCAGCCCCACATAAGCCTGCTGAATCCCAGACAATCATCCACCTCCTCCTGCACCACTCCTCCTCCTCCTCCTCCTCCTCCTCCTTTTCCTCCTCCTCTTCTTCCTCCTTCTCCTCCGCTTCTTCCTCCCCCTCCTCCTCATCCTCCTCCTCCTCTTCCTCCCTCTCCTCCTGCCCTCCTCCTCCTCCTCCTCCTCCCTCCTGCCCCTCTCCTCCTCCTCCTCCTCCTCCTCCTCCTCCTCCTCCTCCTCCTCCTCCTCCTCCTCCTCCTCCTCCCCTAGTCCTTCCCCCCTCTTGGACGCCCCCGACGAGCGAAGGGCTGGGAAGCGGCTGTTGCCACATGTGCCCCTGGTCCGAGGTGTCCCCAGCTCTGCGTGTCCTTTATGAAGCTCCAGGTTGTCTGACCCTCGTGATGGGGTGCTCCAGAAGCCATCCAGGCCTCTCCCGAAATCCTGGGGACACCTTCTTCGGCCATGGACACCGTTGGCCCCTGGCAGCGTTCGGAGGAAGGGGCCCGAGGACGTCGGCGATGCATCAGCGCTGCTTGCGTGGAGAGAAGTTCGGGCTCCACAGCGAGCTGTACCTCCGATGCATCGGCGATGCCGCGCGATGGCCCCGCTTGGGAGGCCACACCTGCTCCGGCCCCACTCGGGAGGCCTGTGTGACCCCCCCCCTAAGACGCCCCCGGCAGCCGAGAGCGGCGGGGAGGGGCCGGCAACGGGGCCCGAGAAACGTTCCGCTTCATCCTCGGGGGACCTTGCCTGTCCCATCGCGCCGCGATCCGCGTCGAATCCGTGTCGAAAGCATGTCGGATCTGCGTCGCAAGCGCGCCAATCCTCCGTCGGCCACGAGAGCAGCACGCCCCCCGAAGACGCTATGCACGGAGGAGGGGCGCGAGCCTCCCAACCCAGCACCCTGGCCCCACTCGGGAGGCCCGGATGATCCCCCCTTGGACGTGCCCGACGACCGAGAGCGGCGGCCGGGGTCCAGCGGGTATAGCCCGAGGAAGCCTTCCTCCTCCTCCTCCTCCTCCTCCTCCTCCTCCTCCTCCTCCTCCTCCTCCTCCTCCTCCTCCTCCTCCTCCTCCTCCTCCCCCTCCTCCTCCTCCTCGTCCTCGTCCTCCTCCTCCTCCTCCTCTGCCTCCTCCTCCTCCACCTCCTCCTCCTCCTCCTTCTCCCCTCCTCTCCCTCCTCCTCCTCCCTCCTCCTCCACCTGCCTTCTCCTCCTCCTCCTCTCCTCCTCCTCCTCCTCCTCCTCCTCCCCTCCTCCTCCTCCTCCTCCTCCTACTCCTCCTCACTGCTCCTCCTCCTCCTCCTCCTCCTCCTACTCCTCTCCTCCTCCTCTCCTCATCCTCCTCCCCCGTCAATCTTCGCTACCCCCTCCTCCTCCTCTCCTCCCTCCGCCTCCTCTCCTCCTCCTCCACTCTTCCCCTCCTCCTCCTCCTCCGCTCCTCCTCCTCCTCCTCCTCCTCCTCGCTCCTCCTCCTCCTCCTCCTCTCCTCCTGCCTTCCTCCCTTCATCCACCTCCTCCTCCTCCTCCTCCCCCTCCTCCCTGTCCCCTCCTCATCCTCCTCCTCCTCCTCCTCCTCCTCTTCCTCCTCCTCCTCATCTCTCCCCCTCCCCTCCTCCTCCTCCTCCTCCTCCTCCTCCTCCTCCTCCTCCTCCTCCTCCTCCTCCTCCTCCTCCCCTCCTCCTCCTCATCCTCCTCCTCGGCGGCGGCTCCCATTTTGTCTTCGCTGCTCCACCTGGGGCGCGGCAAGCGGGAGGGCGCCGCCCGGCCGCGACAGGCCCGGCCGTGCGCGGCCTCGTGCCGACGAGGGCGCCGGCGGCTCGCAGCGGCTCGGCCGTCACCTCGTCGCCCTGGCGGAGCGGCCGCAGCGCCGCCGCAGGACCCTGCGTGTGCCCTCGCGCTTCCTCCACATCGAAAACATTGGAGCGGCCGGATGTCTGTGTCCGCGTGTCTTCCAGCCCCGGCGGCCCTGGCGGCCCTTCTCCTGGCCCCTCCCTCCGCTTCGCCCTCGCGCTGGGCCGCAAGGGCATGCTGCCTCTGCCTCATTCGCTACAGTGGGGGCCAGTCCACCAGAGACCGTCCACAAGAAACCCAGCCCTGAGACCCCAGGACGTCCTTGGACTCTTGGTGTGGGGACGTCACGCTCTCTATAGCAAAACCATCGGAACCCAAGAAACCCGAGGCACCCTGGAGGCAAACAGGGTGTTTCTTGGCATGGGTTTGTACTCCACAGACTGGAACCGCTGCTTGGCAGAGCACGCAGCTGCCAAGGAACAACTTTGGCGCCCAGGGAGCGGCAACGTAGACGGCGACGCGGATCGAGGCTCGAGCTTGTTTCTTTTGCTGCTCGCCCTATCGTCAGGGCCCTGCTGGGGCACTCTCGTGGCCACGGCCGGCTCCACCTCGAGATTCTGGCCGGGACGCGGCCCTGGACAGGTCAGGGGGACTGCTCTCCAACTTCGAGCACAGGCTACCTAGCGTAGAGCAGACATCGCGACAGACGGCTCTTGGCGATTGCGATGTTCGGCCCGCGGGTGTCCATCAGAAGGCGAGTCGGGTTGAGAGACCAGAAAGTGGGGAAACCAAAAAACACCGATACCGTTACTCCCCGGACCTCTCCTGGGGTGCCGTCTGACTAGAATGTCGCGGCGAATCAAGCGGTGGCGACGAGGGCCTGCAGAGAGTGGCAAAACGGGGACAACGAGGGAAGGGTAGCGGGTTTCCGTAATTTTTTTGGGGAATACCATGCGGGACCTGCTCTAGAAAAGGAACGTATCGTAGACGGATCTACTATTTCTCCGACCTTGCACTGCGCCTGTTCCTGCTGGCCTTTTCTAAGCGTTTCCCAATACGCGTGCCTGGAAGCTCTTCTGAAGGTCCTTCGGAAGCTCTCTCCAGGTCCTTCCAGGGTTCTTCGACAGGCCTTTCCACGCTCCTTTGGCGAACTGCTATCCGGGTTTTGGATCCCGCAGGAATCCTCGATGATCCCGAGTGCAGCGTCCTTCCCTCCCTCCGGCCACGCGCCGTGGGCGAAACACACACACACACACACACCCGTCCGTGCTTACTACCACCACCTCGAGGCCCTGGCCCCCCAGGGGGCCGCGGCCGCCGCGCATGTGTGTGGGCCGCCGCTTTCCTGACGTCGGGCGTGTTCCCTACAGGGGGATTTTCGACGAAAAATAGAAAATACCCCCAAAATAATAAAAAAAAAAAAAAAAAATAATACAACAATAGTCTGGGTACTATTTCGTTGAGTATTTTTGACCTTTTTGGGGTATTTTGGAGTATTTTTAATTTTGCGTCGAAGGCCCCCCTGCAGGGGGACACGCTCGACATAACCGCTTTCCAGAGGCCCCGCGAGGAATCGTACAGCAAATTCACGTCGCGTCGACCCTGGCGTTGGTTCCTGACACCGCGGGGATCGTGATCGGCCGTTCCGGGAACGCGGAACGCCGGATCGTTCCACGAGGGGCCGATCCTGGGCCACGGGCGGCGTTCGACCTTGAACGCGCGCGCTGGGGTCGCCGCTGGTCGGCACGACGCGACCCTGCCGTATCCGCGCGACCGCGCATCTGCGGGACCGCGCACTGGAATTCAGACCGCGGGGGTGTGGATTTGTTTTTCGGCGGCGAGCGCGGGGGGGAAGCGAGAAGGAGAGGGCCTGTTCTCAGCCTTATGAGCATTTTTTTCTATCTTCGGAGAAGGCTAGGAGAACTTCTCAGAAGGCCGGGGGACTTCGAAGCCGTCTGAGAAGGCCCGCCCCTTCTCTCTTCCCCCCCTCGCTCGCCGCCGAGTCTTTGCAACACAGCCCAAACCCGAGGCCGCGTGGTGCATACCAGGGAGGGCCTGGGCAGCCAGGTGCGAACAAAAACTGTGCGCCACGCGAGGGCCGCAGCAGCAGTCGAACAGAGACAGGGAACAGGCCACAAGGAGAAAACGAGGACGAATCAAGAGCAGACCGCGAGGGCGTG